AAAATTAGTAAGGGAAGATAATAAGAATATATAGATGGTTTGAGAAGATTGTAGAATGCAAAGATTATTGTAAATTGTTTAATGTGGAGGAAATCGAGTGGGGGCGGAGGGAAGTGGGAGGAAGGAGAAAAGAATAATATGATGGATTGAGGAAATATAAATGTAAATGTATGGGGGGGAGGAAATGGTGTTGGCTTTGTAATGTAATATGTGAAAACCAATAAAAAGAAAAAAGAAAAGCTATAACAATAAACTACAACTTTGTTCACTGCCCCTGCTCAGGCTGCACAGAAAAAGCAATTTGCTTCCTGAAAATCATTCCTGTTATGTACTGAAGTTCTCACCCTGGGCCAGCAGGGGGATACTGTAGATAGTTATGCAAATGAAGGATCGAAAGTGACGTTTGGTGATTGGCTAGTTACAGAAAATGGTTACTGTTGCATTCTAGTGGAGCTCTATATAAGCAGGCTGGCTGAGCTCCTCAGTTCAGTTCTGTTCCAGCTTACAAATAAAGAGCTGCTTTGGAAGAATTGCTGTGTTGTCTGATATGTTCGCCCACAACTTAACAATTCCGATAGTGCGGATAAAATAGAACGGATAGAATTCTACAAGATGGGATCCTAATGTGTGAAAACAAGATCCAGGGATCCCCAGGTGGAGATGCCCTGGCGCCTGGGCATCTTCACTTGGTCGCAAGTGGCCGAAAGCCAGTTGCAAAATGTGCCTGGCGCCTGGCTAATTTTGAGCCCTGTTCCAGAGGCAGGCCTGGGCCGAAAGGAAACGCAGTTCAAAGAGGAACGTAAGAAGAGTCTGCCAGATCAGGCCAATGGCCAGTCTAGTCTGTCATCCTCACCCAGATGCCCACAAGCAGGATCTGAACACGGGAGCAACTCTCCCCTCCTGCCATTTCCAGCAACTGGTATTTAGTAGAGTCTCTCCCCATTACCGTGGAGATGGAGCGTGGCCATCCTGGCTAGTAGCCACTGAAAGCCCTATCCTCCTCCATGGATTTGTCTCCTCCTCTGTCAAAAACATCCATGTTGCTGGCCGTCGCTGCCTCCTGTCCTGTGGCAGGGAGTTCCATAGTTTAATAAATAAATAAATAACTTTTTATTTATACCCCCCCCTTCCCAGCTCAGAAAACTGGGCTCAGGGTGGCTAACAACAAATTTAAAACACTTAATTGATGCAACAACAACAAAAAAGCATAAAATACAGTATAAAACGTGAATAACAATAAATTCAGAATTCAAAAATCAATTTAGGGGGGAAATCCATCCAATAAACATTCGATGATCACCAGGGCTAGCTGGCTAAATTAGTCCTATTTGGGCCAGCGAGGAGACCAGGGGAGACTTAGCTGTGGGATCCCAGAGCGGGTAATCTTCATAAAAAGGAGAGGGGGAGGGAAGGAAGGGGAATAAAAGATCAGGCTAAGTTTAAATTGAAAGCCATGCGGAATAGCTCTGTTTTACAGGCCCTGCGGAAGGAGGTTAAATCCTGAAGGCAGCCCTGTTTAGGGATGTTTTTAATATTTAATGCTATATTGCTTTTAACACTTGATTGGGAGCTGCCCAGAGTGGCTGGGGAAACCCAGCCAGATGGGTGGGATATAAATAATAAAATATTATTATTATTATTATTATTATTATTATTATTATTATTAGACTGTGCGCTACACGAAGAAGGGCGCTTCTTCCTTTTCTCAGTCCTGAATCGCCAGGTTAGGGTTGGTGGCAGCGGCGGCGTCTGGCTTGCGCAGGAGGTTTAGATTTTCTGATGGCAACGGAGGAATGGAAAACCCCAGAGGGAAATCCCCGGCTGTCATTTACCGCGCAGCAATAACGAGGACAAACTAGATTGCCACCAGCTTGTTCATTTGCCTGCTCGGCAAAGCTTGTCACTTAACGATGGAAATCTCAGTTTGACTCTCTCATTACCACTCTCATTACTGCAGTCAGGGATGTCGTAGAATCGAAGAGCTGGGAGGGGATCCCAGCGGTCATCTAGTCCAACCCCCTGCAATGCAGAAATCACACAGTGTCTGTATCTGTATTGGAGTCAAAATGGGCTCAGGTGTTGTTGTTTCTAAAAATGTACAACTTAAGAAATCAGTTGCTCCAGTTGTAGCTCTCTGGGCTCTCTGAGGGACGGTGTGCCTGCCGCAGCCCTGGTCGACTTCTCTCAAAGCGAGGGGTGGATTGGGTCCCTCCATTGAGCTGAATGAAGAGGCTGCGGCAGGTCAGGGGATTCTGTGCGCCTGACTCCTCCGATTATTCATTTTTCTTTATTTGTGTAGCCGAAACAGCTGCAAAGCAAGATATATATAAAAACAAGATAAAATACAGTCATACAGTGGTACCTCGCAAGACGAATGCCTCGCAAGACAAAAAACTCGCTAGACGAAAGGGTTTTTTGTTTTTTGAGCTGCTTCGCAAGGCGATTTTCCCTATGGGCTTGCTTCGCAAGACGGAAACGTCTTGCAAGTTTGTTTCCTTTTTCTTAACACCGTTAATACAGTTGCGACTTGACTTCGAGGAGCAACTCATAGCACGCCGTGTGGTAGCCTTTTTTGAGGTTTTTGAAGACTTTGGTGATTTTTGAAGCTTTTCCAAAACTTTCCCGACACCGTGCTTCGCAAGACGAAAAAAATCGCAAGACGACAAAACTCGCGGAACGAATTAATTTCGTCTTGCGAGGCACCACTGTACCTTGGGATAAATATGCTTCAGGATAAGTATTTTTGGGTTGTGCTCCGTGGCGACCCAGAAGTAACGGAGCGTGTTACTTCCAGGTTTCGCCGCTCGCGCATGCACAGACATTCAAAATGATGTCACACGCATGCGCGGAAGTGGCGAAACGTGCAGACGCGCTGTCGCGTCTTACATTCCGTTCGCATCCCGAGGTACCACTGTACACTGCAAAAGTTGAGATAATAATGATAATAGTGATAATGCCAGTAATACATTTTTATTTATACCCCGCCCTCCCCAGCCAGAACCAGGCTCAGGGGGCAGCTAACACCAATAAAATTACAATAAAATGTAAAAGAAAAAGAAAAAACAATTAATTAAAATATGGGTTAAAATACAGTTTAAAATGCAGCCTCATTTTAGTAGTAGCCCATAAATCAAAACCATAAGGGAAGGGCAGCATAAGGGTCAGACTGAGTCCAAACCAAAGGCCAGGCGGAACAGCTCTGTCTTGCAGGCCCTGCGGGAAGATGTCAAGTCCCGCAGGGCCCTGGTCTCTTGTGACAGAGTGTTCCACCAAGTTGGGGCCAGTACTGAAAAGGCCCTGACCCTAGCTGAGACCAATCTAACCACCTTGTGGCTTGGGACCTCCAAAGTGTTCTTATTTGTGGACCTTAAGATCCTCCGCGGGGCATACCAGGAGAGGCGGTCCCGTAGGTACGAGATAATTATTCAGACCAGACGTTCTGTCCAATAAAATTGAGCTCCACTTATCATCCATGCAAACCTTTCTCAGAATTGCCGCTGTAATGGCAAAATGGGCTGCCTGCTCAGAAATGTTAAGGGGACCTAATAGAAAGTTGATCAGTTATTTATTTCAGAAAATTTATACGGCTTGATCTTTTTATATATATATATATATATAAGCAGTTCACATGAAGTTTCAACAATAACACCAGGAAAAATTTTGCAGCCATACTTTAAAACCTAGAAAAGTTGAAATACTAAAACAGGTGAGAACTACCTCAACTTCCTAAACATCTAATAATCCAAGATATATGTTGGCTGAGAGTTTTAAATCATTGAACAAAGCTGTTCTTATGTCCTCATCAACTGGGCAAACAAGCAAGCGATGGGCTAAAAATTCAGGAACGTTACCCAGTCAGAGAATTCTCTGTGCATTGTTGGGATTTGTGGACAGAATATAGAGTTCTTGGTGGTGCGCAAGCTTGTTGTTGTTGTTTAGTCGTTTAGTCGTGTCCGACTCTTCGTGACCCCATGGACCAGAGCACGCCAGGCACCTCTGTCCTCCACTACTTCCCGCAGTTTGGTCAAAGTCATGCTGGTAACCTCGAAAACACTATCCAACCATCTCGTCCTCTGTCGCCCCCTTCTCCTTGTGCCCTCCATCTTTCCCAACATCAGTGTCTTCTCCAGGGAGTCTTCCCTTCTCATGAGGTGGCCAAAGTACTGGAGCCTCAGCTTCAGGATCTGTCCTTCCAGTGAGCACTCAGGGCTGGTTTCCTTAAGAATGGAGAGGTTTGATCTTCTTGCAGTCCATGGGACTCTCAAGAGTCTCCTCCAGCACCATAATTCAAAAGCATCAATTCTTCGGCGATCAGCCTTCGGGCAACCGTGTGATGCAGCAGCAAAAAAAAAAAAGGCTAATGCTATTATGGGCTGCATGGACAGAAGTATAGTGTGCCCGGGTCAAGGGAAGTCATAGAGCAATTCTGTGCTGCCTTGGTCAGACCACACCTGGAATACTGTGTCCAGTTCTGGGCACCACAATTTAGGAAGGATGTTGATAAGCTGGAAGAGGTGGAGAGGAGTGCAACTAAGATTATCAAGGGACTGGAATCCAAACCTTATGAGGAACGGTTGAAGGAGACTGGGTATGTTTAGCCTGAGAAAGAATAGACTGAGAGGAGATATGATAGCCATCTTCTAATATCTCAAGAGTTGTCGCATGGAAGAGGGAACAAGTTTGTTTTCTCCTGGTCCGGAGGGCAGGACTCGAACCCATGGCTTCAAGTTACAGGAAAAGAGATTCCAATTAAACAAGAAGAATGGTGAGAGCTGTTCGACAGTGGAAAGGGATGGACTCTCCTTCCTTGGAGGTTTCTAAGCAGAGGTTGGATGGCCACCTGCCATGGCTGCTTTAGTTGAGATTCCTGCATTGTAGGGGGTTGGACTAGATGACCCTCGGGGTCCCTTCCAAGTCTATAATTGCACATTAGTTCCTATGTGCTGAAGGTCTTTCTCATTCCCCCTCACTCACCTTTTCCTTCCCCTCTTGTTTTTCAGGGTGTTCAAGAAAGCCAGTCCCAATGGGAAGGTAAGCTGAACTTCTTCTCCAGTACTTTGGGTTTCTTTCGTTTGGGGAAGTGGGAGAGAAGAAGACGGAGGGGGGAAATGGGATTTTGTTCTCGTTATTTATTTCTGGGAATGGAGAACTTGCATCCTCCCTCCCTCTGGAATCAGGACTCAGACTCGGAATAAAGCTAAAAGCTTTAAGGCATCAATGAGTGCGGCCTGTCATCAAGGCAGGGCACAGCAGGTGTAAGGCATGGCTACACAAGCTTTGCGTATTCTAGATGGATTGTTGAATATTTCTTTATTTGATACAAGTTTTATTATGACTTATTTGCATTGGATCAGATTCTTATGGGGTGTGCAATCTTTGTTGTGTATTTTATAGAATCACAGAATCATGGAGTTGCCCATCTGGTTCAACCCCCTGCAATGCAGGAATAATATTTTGCTGTTTCTCCTTCTCCTGCAAGCTGCCTGTATTGTTTAGTGGTGTCCGCCTCTTCGTGGCCCCCTGGACCAGAGCACACCAGGCCCTCCTGTCTTCCACTGCCTCCCGCAGTTTGGTCAGACTCATGTTTGTAGCTTCGAGAACACTGTCCAACCATCTCGTCCTCTGTCATCCCCTTCTCCTTGTGCCCTCCATCTTCCCCAACATCAGGGTCTTTTCCAGGGAGTCTTCTCTTCTCATGAGGTGGCCAAAGTCTTGGAGCCTCAGCTTCAGGATCTGTCCTTCCAGTGAGCACTCAGGGCTGATTTCCTTAAGAATGGATCAGTTTGATCTTCTTGCAGTCCATGGGACTCTCAAGAGTCTCCTCCAGCACTATAATTCAAAAGCATCAATTCTTCGGCGATCAGCCTTCTTTATGGTCCAGCTCTCACTTCCATAACTCACTACTGGGAAAACCAAAATAATAGAATAGAATAGAATAGAATAGAATAGAATAGAATAGAATAGAATAGAATAGAATAGAAGCGAAGCTGTGGTGGATACTTGCTCCTGCTCCTTCACATAAATATATCTTTTTAGTTGTTTGTTTTTGACTGTAAGCTTTCTTAAGTCCCTGTCTGGACTCAATAAATAAGAGTTATGTGCAGCTTTGATTATTCTGCGAACCACCCTGAGATCTTGTGACTGTCCATAAATTTAATAAATAAATGAATGTCAAAAAAGGAGACCCCGACTAAACGTTAGGAATAACTCCCTGGGTGCAAGAGCTTCGACTCACTTGGGAGGTTGTGGGCTCCCTTTCCTTGGGGGATTTTAAAGCAGAGGTTGGGCGGCCACCTGTCATGGGTGCTTTAGCTGCGGTCTCTGCATCGTGGGGGGTTGGTCTGGATGACCCTCGGGGGGCCCCTTGCAGCTCTACAGTTCTGTGATTCTAAGACTCTTTGCATCGCTGTAGCAAGAAAAAAAAGCAACTAATGTGTTTAATAAATATTTATAATAATAATAATAATAGTGAGTATACTGGCAAGCTTATTCAGAATGCCAGCATTCACCATTGGGGCCGTCCTTCACCTTCCCAGCAGGCTAAGTGCTTTTTATCCAAGGCAACAACAGTCTCCGGCAAACCAGCGTCTTGTTGCTAGGCGAGCTCACCTGTGCCACCTCGGCCTGACCCTGATACACATCACTCAGTGCTCTTATAAGAGGAGAAGGAGGATGCCGGATTGGATTGGCTGGAAGCGGGGAGACAGTCCCCAGGCCTGGAGGGCTTGCATTATACTGACTGTGCAAGGCTGGGAAAGATGGCTTTTAACTGTGTGAGTGTCTGGAGGCGGTTGGAGGATAGATGGCAGCTAACAGATTGAGGTTGAATCCTGACAAGACAGAAGTACAGGAGGCGGGCGGGTGTGGAGGACTCACTGGTCCTGAATGGGGTAACTGTGTCCCTGAAGGACCAGGTGCACAGCCTGGGAGTCATTTTGGACTCACAGCTGTCCATGGAGGCGCAGGTCAATTCTGTGTCCAGGGCAGCTGTTTATCAGCTCCATCTGGCACGCAGGATGAGACCCTCCCTGCCCACACACTGTCTCACCAGAGTGGTGCATGCGCTGGTTATCTCCCACTTGGACTACTGCAATGTGCTTTATGTGGGGCTACATTTGAATGTGACTCGGAAAGTGCAATTACCGTATTTTTCGCTCTATAAGATGCACCAGACGACAAGATGTACCTAGTTTTTGGAGGAGGAAAACAAGGAAAAAAATATTCTGAATCTCAGAAGCCAGAACAGCAAGAGGGATCACTGTGCAGTGAAAGCAGCGATCCCTCTTGCTGTTCTGGCTTCTGGCCTGATCCAGCACACACATTTCCCCTTACTTTTTAGGAGGGAAAAAGTGAGTCTTATAGAGCAAAAAATACGGTAATCCAGAATGCGGCAGCTAGACTGGTGACTGGGAGTGGCCGCCAAGACCACATAACACCAGTCCTGAGAGATTTACATTGGCTCCCAGTATGTTTCCGAGCACAATTCAAAGTGTTGGTGATGACCTTGAAAGCCCTAAACGGCCTCAAAGGCCCAGTATACCTGAAGGAGCGTCTCCACCCAATCGTTCTGCCCGGACACTGAGGTCCAGCGCAGAGGGCCTTCTGGCGGTTCCCTCGCTGCAAGAGGCCAAGTTACAGGGAACCAGGCAGAGGGCCTTCTCGGTAGTGGCGCCCGCCCTGTGAAATGCCCTCCCACCAGATGTCAAAGAGAACAACAACTACCAGACTTTTAGAAGACATCTGAAGGCAGCCCTGTTTAGGGAAGCTTTTAATGTTTAATAGACTATTGTATTTTAATATTGTGTTGGAAGCTGCCCCGAGTGGCTGGGGAAACCCAGCCAGATGGCTGGGGTATAAATAAATAATAATAATAATTATTATTATTATTATTATTATTATTATTATTATTATTAACATTTTTATTATTCAGTTTGGGCAATGAAAATGAAAGACTCGGCTGGGTGGCTGAAGATTCTTTCTGACTTGGCTGCGGGGCTTGCCTCTGAGCTGAGTCCAAAATTGCTTCGTTGCATTTTGAATACTATTCCCCCCCCCCTTTTTTCCATGGGACATGAGTTTCTCCAAAGCAGGACTCTTACTTGCTGTGGGGTGGGTGGATAGCAGGGCTGAACCCCACACCTTTTGCGAACTAGGAAACTCTGTTTCTGCAAATTCAGAACAAGAGGAATAATACAGGCAAACACCCAGAGCTTTCTCAAAAGGCATTCTGAGTATTGGGCGGACCGTAGTTCAGTGGTAGAGCAGCGTTCAGAGGGTCCTTGGTTCAGTCCTGGAGCATCACAAGGGCGATGTGGTGGTGGGTGGAGGACATTGTTTCAGAGAGCTTTGGCTCTGTGGACATTTCCCTTTGATAAACAATAGGTCTGCATGGAACAAAGAGGGACAGGCTGGAATTGGGGCAGCCAGCCTCAGGGGGTGGTAATGGGGTACAACAGCAGTGGGAAGGTGTCAGGGTGCCCGGGTCCCCAACTCCTTTCCAGGCAAGGAAAAGGCAGTTTTTGATGGGCTCTGCCGGATGACCTATTTAGTGAGCTTTCAACCTCATTTGCCTGCACAAAGCTTTCCAGGATGTTGTGTTACATCTGGTGTTGACATTTGTTGCGATTTGTTTGTGGGGTGCTTATACAACTCTGAGCGCGCCTCCTGCCCTCCATCTTGATTTGCTTGTGGCATGTTTACACATCTCCCCATGAGTCATTGGTTGGCGTCTCGCTTTTCCAAACCACAAAACGTCCAGCTGTTTTGCTTTGTGAAGCAGATTTGTTGTGCCGTGTGGCAGAGCACTTCGACCCACTTCAGTTGCGTTAAACTAGCTGTTGCACGACACCGCAATGTCTGAGAGGGAGTCCAAGGCTTCACTTTCCTTGGAATGAAGGTCAGATGAGACGGCGGTGTCTTTAGAATACAGTGGTACCTCGGTTTACGAACTTAATCCGTTCTAGAAGTCCGTTCTTAAACCGCAGCGCGCTTTCCCTAATGAGGCCTCCCACTGCCAGTGCCCTTCCATTCTTAGACCGAAGTAAAATTCGCAAACCTGGACACTACTTCTGGTTTTGCAGAGTTCATAAACCGAATCATTTGTAAACAGGACTCTTCTTAAACCGAGGTACCACTGTATCAGGTTATACAGTGGACGCTCAGGTTGTGAACGTGATCTGTGCGGGAGGCACATTCACAACCCGCAGCATTTGCAACCCGCAGCGCTGCGTTTGCGCATGCGTGGGTTTCGATTCGGCACTTCTGTACATGCGCAAAGCGTGATTTAGCGCTTCTGCACATATGCGACTGCTGAAACCCAGAAGTAACCTATTCCGGTACCTCCAGGTTTCAGCGGGTATGTAACCCAAAAAAACACAACCTGAAGCATCTGTAACCCGAGGTATGACTGTATTTGCACATATATATATATATAACACGAGCATAAGATGGAGTGACTCAGAGCATTGATACCCCAACAGATCTTGCTTCTCCATTTGCCACCGTTGTGGATCCAGCCCAGAGCAAGCAGGTCTCGGTGTCTCCATCTCCCAGCCGGCTTTCAGCTCAGCTCAAGCACAACTCTCTCGCTCTCGGTCTCCTACCCAGCAGATAGGTGAGGGGGCTGGAGGAAAGGCTCAGCCATTCGCCTGAAGGGCACTCTGGCTTAGTGACAGCTCTTGCAACCCAGCTTATTCTTTGGGGATGCTGTTGAGGACACCAAAGTGGACAGCGAAGGCCATTGTCCTGCAAATGTTGTGCATATGCCTGATTATCGTCTTCCAAAGCAACTACTCTATTCCGAACTTAGAAATGGAAAAAATAAAAATGTTTTTAAAATGTCCAGTAGCACCCTAGAGACCAACTAAGTTTCTTCTGGGTATAAGCTTTCATATGCACGCACATTTCTTCAGATAAATGGAAAGCGTAATGCTGGTGATCAACAAAAGAGGTTCAGAGATGCTCTCAAGGCATTTAAAAATGTAGTATAATCACCAACAACTGGGAAACACTTGCCTGCGAGCGCTCCAGTT